TATTTTCCAAAAATTAATAGGAGTGCAAAAAATAAATTAGAGCTCTCCTTTTATAGTGCGAAAAAATTACTCTGATTTTAGTAAGTCTAGACGGGGTGTTACACCTGACCATGTTGGTTTCGAGCTAGTTCCAACCCGTGGACATGTCAACTCTGGAGAGGCCATTAATAATAATAATGAAAAGAAAAGGAGAGGAGAGGGATCATAGAAGGATAATTTAGGGTAACGATCAGTGAAAGTGATTTTTTTTTTATTCAATTTGATCTATCAAATAACAGAATTTGCTATACATATTGTTTGCCAATTTGAATTAATGATTCATATACGCATCATAATGCTAACACGAACACAATTATCACCATACACAAGTTATCTGAAGACCAAATCGGCACTTTGCGCTCGTTAGAGTCACATCATCACCTGTCTTCCATGGCCGAAGTCCAAATTTCAACGTCGATCATGTGAAGTTTCCTTCGCGTCGGTCCTTTCCCAGGCGGAGGATCCTTCGCGCCGATATTATACTCAATGTGAACGAGGTTGTTGCCCACGAATCGGGTATAAATCTCGTTCGCAAAAATACATGCAGCCACTTATCACTTTGCATGCAGCTAAACCCTCAAATGTGCGCCAGGTGTCCCATGATTCATCAAAAAAAGTCCTAATGATTAGCCATTGGACAAAATGATAATTCCCTTACTCATTTCTATTCACATGTTTAGTATATTTGTTAGAAGGGAATGACCATTCCAATGGAAATTGCACAACTCATCTACATGTGATTAGCCATTCCATAGCTAATGGAATGTTTTTTATTCCCGTATGTTTAGGAATTAACTTTTTAAAGAAAAATTAACAAATAATAATAACAAATAAATATATAATATATACTATATTATCATGATTACATTATATTATAAGAAACTTATTTTATTTTATATAATCAAATATTTATTCATAAATTGAATTATACTATAAAAAGGTATATTTGACTACATGCTTACAGGGGTTTATTTTGTATTAGTTAATTTGAATATAAATACATAATTCACTTATTTATTATATAAGATGGGTGTATCAATACAAAAATACGTTTATTAAAATATAGTATATTTTTAAAATACAAAATAATATTAGTATTATCATAAATAAGAAAATAACATTAATATAAATTTTAACTTTTTTCTATAAAATAGTAATAAATGATAATATAGGATGATAATGTCATTTCATTTCGGTCTTATTCCTTCTACATAGCAAACACATCAATGACAAAACTTGTTTCATTTTTTTACTTTAATCATTCCATGTTTCAACTCATTCCATTTCCAGCAAATTTCATTCCATTAAACCAATCATGCCATTAGTGCATGCACTTTACTAGTGCAATAAAATGTCTACTTTGCTATGATATACATCAACCATAGCTAGAGAAAGTTCACATTTGGGAAATCTTATTACTACTGACTCCAAAATATCACCACGCCTTGACAGCACAAAATGCGATACAAAAATGCCTAAACAGCACAAGCCTCAAGTTGTAATGACAATCACCAAATTCAGGCCAACATATAATCCACGGCTAACATATAAGCCAATAACTTTTAAACAAGAACTAGGAAGGAACATCGCCATGAAAACCTCTGAATATCAAATTAAAGAAATTAAGGAAGCATTATGGTCATATTTGGGAAATCATATTACTACTGAATCCAAAATAGCCCACGACTTGACAGCACAAAATGCAATACAAAAATGCCTACATAACACAAGCCTCAAGTTGTAGTACCTCTGCAGTAAAATGAAATAATCATCTAAGGACAAGTCAAGGGCAGAGCAACCTCTAGGAATTAGTCAGACCAGATTCAGGCTAACATATAAGCCAGTACCTTGGAAACCAAGAAGGAGCATCGCCATGGAAATATTTGAATATAAAATAAACTGATAAAAGAACACAAGCAAGCATCAGGGTCATAGAAAAATTGATAATCTCCAAGCTCATTCGATCTGATAAGGAAAGAAAATAGTATGATGAGCATAACAGATGTCAAAACAAAAAATAAAAGCAAAAGTCGAGGATACCCGAAGGGAAAAAAATATGTAAAAGGAACAAGCATCATGTGTTTTGGTGCCAAAATTGATAACTAAAAAAAACTAGTCAATACAAGTTAAACATTAGAGAGAGTTCGGCCCACAAGATTTAGTATTTGCTTATGTTTCATGTTTGGTTAAGAACAAACAGCTTCCACTAACTAGAAAACACATAAAATTTTCCATGAAATGAAAGGAACATATTAATGAACCAAGCTTTCACCATTCAAAATCTGAGCTGAGAATCAATAATTAGAACATCAAGCATGAGGATTTTAAGTAGCACTCAAACCAGAAAACAAAACATACAATTTACAAAGGACAAAGATAGTGTCATTTTTTCAGCAATATCCAAGGCTCAATGGAATAACGAATGGAAAGAGAGGAAAGCATTTGACATAAAGAGTAAACAACAAATAATATTCATGTTTCATCTCATGTTTAACTTCTCAAATAAATGCAGAATCACACAAAAACCCAACATAACTAAATGCACTGCAATACAGAAAATTAGGTTGTGACAAAAAACAGTAACAACTATTGTTGCACGTGTGCAAAGGAATTAAAGATTTGAAAGTTAATTATTACCAAATGTGCGGAGACATAATAAGCTCAAATAATGCAAAAATCTGAGTGACTAAAAGTAAAGATTTGTTGAACAAAAGCTGTTAACATGAATCATCATAAGTTTTTTAGTAATAAAGTTCGTGAGGTGATGCGGTAAACAACAAAACAAAAGATTAAAAATCTTGGTCAGATGCTTATTCGAACAATGCTTTTTACTTTATTTAATCGTCATAAATGCAGGGGTGTCACATTTTTACGAAACTAATGTCCTATCTGTCATAAAAGAATAAGTTATACCTTGCATGAATCTTTTTACGAAACTAATGTTCTATCTGTCATAAAAGAATAAGCTATACCTTGCACGAGAAGATTCATCTCCAAAACCAGCACAATGCTGAAAAATCAATGAAAATAATCAATCGATTCAAACCAATCAAAAACAATAATACAAAGCTCATGCGATCATTTCATTTTGACTGCCAAAAAAAGTAAGAAACTGGGAGAAATAGAACTTGAAAAAAAACAACCCGCTTAACTTGGTGGAACTCATCGTTACTGGGTTTGTATCTTCTTTAATTCCAGGATTCCGAAATATAAAATTATAAAATAGTTTTTGCATTCAATTTCGAAATTGAAATTTGAATTGAATGTGAAAATTAGCGGATAGTGCAACTTAATGACAAAAATGGGTAAAGTGTGTTTTTTGTTTTGGTTGTACTATTAGAAAACAATCAACTACTACTTTTCTAAGGGTTATGTTAAACAACAGAGGAGAAAAGCCAATTTGTTTACTCTAAGTCTCTAACTGATCAATTTGACTGCAAATCCATAGCCTTGCAGTCTCTGCCCATACTAACCATAATATATATCCTCCAATATTGTTTGAATACATTTCCAAATTAATCTGATAATATGTGCACAAGCTAGTTATAACACAATAGGTAAGCAAATTAGAAGAGAACGCATGTCATTTATGAATAAATAACTAGCGAGTCACGACTTTCATGAGTGATTATGTCTCAATGCAACTGACCAACAAACTCCAACACAAAATCATATTGTAAGAAAAACAACCAAATAACACTAAATACAACGTAGCGATATACATTCGAAATATTCTATTTTTAAATAAGACAAAGCATCAAATAATATATTTTATACTTGTGCTAGTCCTATTTATTCCTCCATTTACAAAATACAAAGTAGTCATAAGAGTCTCAAATATTTGAATTAATGAATGAGACAAAACATCTTAACATATAACGCATATATTTTAACCTTGCGGTAGTCATAAGGTCATATACGTCTATTATTATCTCATTTTAGGACCATTTCCATTTCGTTTGATTCTCATATCTAAAAGAGTAACAATTGTCAACCAAGATAAAATATTAAGATATGAACATTCTGACTACTTCTAAGTTCATAAACTACAAAATGTTTATAAACAAAATTAACATCTAAAGCAAACTTACCTATATTCAATAAAAACACAACAAATGGTCACAAACCATATATGATGAGCATCACTTATTACATTCACCCAGCACATATAAAAGACTAAATCGTATAATAATGAGAAATACAAGAGCTTGAAGTCGAATGAATGAAACAAGAAAGAGCTTTCTAAAACGGAATAACCACTCCTTCATACACGACCTTGTCACTTCACAATGATGAAAAAAAATGTAAGAATTACACAAGAAAAGTCTAGAATAAATAATAGGAAGAACAAATTACTCAGGGCCCATGGAAAAAATGAAAAAAAAAAAAAA